AAATAAATAAGTTATCCTATCATAATCTTTGTATATATCAAATATAAAATAAAATAATATTATTTAATCTAATTTTATTTATAACATGATTTTATTTTGTCTTATTATAATCTTATATATTAAACATAATTTTAACATTTAGTCTTAAATTAATCATTTAACCTATCATCTATAATTTTTATTCAAAATTTAAATCTAATTTAAACATATTTGTCTTGTTGATGTTTTTTTTTTTTTTTTCTAAAAGAATTTGAGGTAAATAGATTATTTAGTCTTTCAGTTTATGATAAGATATGTTTGTATCTGGTAATCAAAAATAAATGATTACAGATCATATATTCGATATTACCTCAATAAATTATCACCGATAAAACTCAGAACAAAAAATAATCCTAACCGATTTAAACAGTTAGATGTTTAAAATGACCAAAGTGGATGCGTCAATGGTTACCAAGTTTAGTAGACCCGAGAGACAACGGGCTCTATTTCAGGGGCTCGGCTCCTCCATGTCATAAGAAACAAAGCCATAACCCAACACAGAGACGATGGAAGAGAGAGTTTGATAAAAAACAGTCAAAGATTATTATGATTCCAAGTCTTTGATGATTCAAATAAAAGACTCCTTTCTTTCTCACTTCCTCTTACATCAGGTATGAAATTTCCTTTTTGGTCTTATTATATACATAAAAACACTAGATTTAATTCCATTTTTTTTTTTAAATTTGGATTTTAGATTGGATTCTGGAAGAAGGGACTAAATTGAAGCTTGAATTGAGGTGAAGATATAGAGCTAAGTGATCAAGTTGCTTCTTTTTCTTTTTTTTTTTTAATCTTGGAAGGTGAATTGTGGTGAATTTTATGGGGGGTTCTTGAATCTTGATTGAATTTCTGCATTTTCTGTTGAAATATTGAATTGGGTTTCTTCAAAATCCAGTTCTTTGTTTGTTTATGGGGTTTTAAGGTTTTGTTTGGGCTTTTGCTGGTCTGAACATTGCATTGAAGTTTTATGCAAAAGCTTAAAATCTGCACCTTCACTTCTCTTCCAAGAGCTGGAATTTGGTTGGTATTACTTGTTGTAGCCCTGGTGTTTCGCTGTTCTTGATGTTTAATTAAGAAAAACTTTCAATTTCAATGGCTACCTCGCCACAAGCTTCTCCTGGCTACTCTAAGACTATTACTCCTCAGATGGATTCTGCTTCACCTAATCCTAATAAAAGTTCAATTGCACCTATATTTCCTGTGCCAAATTTACAACAAGATCAGATCCCTTCCCATTCAATAAAAAATCCTACTATGCTGTCACAGGCAAATGGGGTCAAAACTGGAAGCCCAATTCCACATCTGAGTACTCCCCATGGCCCTCCTGTATTTACATCACCAGTCTGGCTTGCTGCCGTGCCTTTCCGAAACTCTCCTGCAACTCCTCCGCCAGTTGGTTTCTCATCAGGTTCAGCTTTGCCCACATCTTCACCTCGCCATTTTTCAAACGGGTCAGTTGAGCTGCAACAGCAACTTCCCAGTGCTATAGAGGAATCTGTGCCTGACGGAGACTCGCCATGTGTTTTATTCTCAGCTGAGAAGGTATCTTTCATTCTTTGTGGGATGAAAGAAAAAGCTGATATATTATTTTATCAGTCTATTTCTATGATTTTGCTACCAAATTGTCAAATTTCTTTTTCAGATTTTATGATTATGTATGTATTATTAGATTTTACAGTCTATTTATCTTTGCAATTATATGCACTATTTCTATTTATAATTCATTTGTCCTCCTCTTCCATCCATCTTTTATGTTAGGTGTCGAAACACAAGAAACAAGCAAATGTACCTAGTTTAGGTTTTGGAGTATTGGTTTCTCCTGGGAGGGAGACTTTGCCAGGTCCTCAAGTGATACAACATGATCCTCATCGATGCCATAATTGTGGAGCTTATTCAAATCTGTATTCTAACATACTAATTGGCTCAGGCCATTGGCAGTGTATAATCTGCTGGCATCTAAATGGAAGTGAAGGTGAATACATAGCATCAAGCAAGGAAGAGCTCCGTAATTTTCCAGAGCTGTCATCGCCTTTGGTTGATTTCATTCAAAGAGGTAATAAGAGACCAAGTTTTGTTCCAGTTACTGATTTGGGAACATCTGCACTGGTTGTTCTTGTCATTGATGAATGTCTAGATGAGCCACACCTTCAGCATTTACAGAGCTCCCTGCATGCATTTGTTGATTCTGTGCCACCAACAACAAGAATTGGAATCATTTTGTATGGTCGCACAGTATCAGTCTATGACTTTTCAGAGAAATCAATAGCATCTGCTGATGTGATTCCAGGTGGCACTTCACCAACTCAGGAGACCTTGAAAGCATTGATTTATGGAACTGGTTTATATTTGTCACTGATCCATGCTTCAAAAGAGGTGGCACACCTGATATTCTCTTCATTGAGGCCATACAAGTTGAATGTTCCAGAAGCATCAAGAGATAGGTGCTTGGGTACTGCAGTTGAGGTTGCTCTGACTATTATTCAAGGGCCATCTGCAGACATGTCTCCAGGTATAGTTAAAAGGCCAGGTGGTAATAGCAGAATCATTGTGTGTGCTGGTGGACCGAATACTTATGGCCCTTGATCCGTCCTTCATTCTTATACTCTTCCTAATTATCCTCATAAGGAAAAGACAGCAATGAAATGGATGGAGCATCTTGGTTGAGAGGCTCATCAACATAACACAGTGGTGGACATTCTCTGTGCTGGAACTTGCCCTGTACGGGTTCCTGTGCTGCAGCCTCTTACAAAAGCTTCAAGGGGTGTTTTGTTCTTCATGATGACTTTGGTGAAGCCTTTGGTGTGAACTTGCAGAAGGCATCTGCAAGGACAGCTGGTTCGCATGGTTTGTTGGAGATACGCTGTTCTGATGATATTCTTGTTACTCAGGTCGTGGGTCCTAGTGAAGAGGCACATATTGACACCCATGAAACCTTTTAAAATTATATTTCTCTTTATATTCAAATGCTGAGTGTTGAAGAAACACAATGCTTCTCGATATTGATGGAGCATAAACATGACATCAAGAGTGATTTCGTAATTTTCCAGTTTGCCATTCAATACTTAAATGTTTATCAAGCTGATATAGCTAGAGTGATTACTATCAGATTGCCAACTGTGGATAGTGTTTCAGCCTATCTTCAAAGTGTTCAAGATGAGGTGGCTGCAGTCCTAGTTGCCAAGAGGACTCTTTTGCGAGCAAATAGTTATTATGAAGCAATTGATATGCAAACAACATTAGATGAAGGAGTTAAAGACATTGGTTTAAAGTTTGGGTCCCAAATGCCAAAGTCAAAGCAATATCGGTTCCCAAAGGAAATCTCTTTACTACCAGAGCTTCTATTCCATCTTAGGAGGCGCCCACTGTTGGGAAGTATAGTTGGTCACGAGGATGGGAAGTCTGTACTTTGGAATTTGTTTTTGAATGCATCCTTTGATCTTTCACTTCGCATGGTGGCCCCTTGCTGTCTGATGCACCGGGAAGGAGGCACTTTTGAAGAATTGCCTGCTTATGATCTTGCCATGCAGTCTGATACTGCTGTTGTTCTAGACCATGGTAGAGATGTCTTCATTTGGTTGTTATGTCAATCAATCCATCTTATAGCTTTGGCATGTTATATATCTGTTATATTTGCTTTCTGGCTATTTTTGCTTTTATGTTATTCACCTTTGAACCATAAAGTCTGGCATGCATGTGTCTGCTATATGTGGTCCATTTTTTGCTTTGTGATTGAGTAGGAGATCCATGAATGCATGTAGTTTGAAGGCAAGTTGCAAACAAAGACCTTAGCGCATTTGTTCCTATGCTCTTTATGAACACCATCAAGCTCGGTTATTATTAAGATTGTATTTCTCTCTGTTAATATCAGGCCACGGTAGAAAAGAGATGCTAGCTTGATGTATGGGGAACTGGAAGTAAAGGTTTGGAATTGAGAAGCTATTCGTGCCTTTCTAAATGTGGTCACAGCTACCTCATCCATCTAACATTTTTATATCATGGTCACTTTGTAAATGCATTTTGTATAGCATACCCTTATATATATATACACACCATGTGACAACCTTGCCCTGGACGCATTCTTTTGCTTTTTCACTTTTATTCCACCTGTATGTGTATGCCTGGTATGTTTATGTTATGAGAGAAATACCGGTGGATTACGTTTTTTAGAATCGACTTTAGAATCTATGTTTATTTATTTATTTAGTTTTCAGGGAATAATATTGAACATCTTCCTGTCAACTGCTGGCTTCAGGGTGCTGAACTTGCAGCTGATGAAGGACGAAATGCAGCAGCTTTGGCAGCTTGTAGATCATTGGCAGAAGAGCTCACAGAGTTACAATTTCCAGCACCTCGGATCCTTGCTTTCAAGGTTCTTCTTCCCTTATTTAGTCCGAATATTCTATAAACTGTGCATTGTTCCATCAAACAGAAAAAGAACCTAATGATCTGGTTTTATTGCAGGAGGGGAGCTCTGAGTCTCGATATTTTGTTTCTCGGCTGATACCAGCACACAAGGATCCTCCTTACAAATAGGTAAGAGAAAAAAAATAATGGGCAAACCTCTTTGCTTTTAGTCCTAACAGGTCTATCTGTTTCTGTATGTATTTATTGAAAAATGAAGGAATGCATATAGTTAGAAAACAGTGAAGTAACTATTGCTTGATGCTTATGCAGGAGGCAAATTTCCACAGCTCCAAACACTTAACAGAACAGTGGACAAAACTGAAAAGCAGTTTTGTTCATTTTGATGATCCCAGCTTCTGTGAATGGATTGGGAATTTGAAAGTAGTGCCACCAGAAAAAAGATAAGATATATTTTCCTTTTTTTTGCAGTTAAAATTCCTCCAAAAATCTTTTATTGCAATCTTTCTGCTCTTCTTTTTTCTTCTTCTCCCTATGAAAGGAATGTAACTCATTCATTTTTTCTTTTCATTATTATTTTTTTCTTTTCCAGCTCTCCTTTACAAAATTTCCCTTTTTTTTTTTATATATATAAAAGAAGTTGCAGGCGCTGGGATTTGAACATAGACCTGCTGGGTGTGATTGAAGGTAGTTCCATGAATCAACTAAGCTAAGTTCCAATTTTCTCACTCTTTTAAAATTGAAAGAAACAGTTATACTTCATAGTACTCCAAAGTTCAACTGTATTGTCTCATTGTTAGTTGAAAATTCTTTTGCTAGAGAAATAGTTTTACTTTACCTTGTATCATTCTTATATAAATTATGCCATTTTTTGTAAATCTCTTCCGATGGTATCCTTGAAGTTACTGCAACATGGTTGGTTCCGGAGAAAGTCTAATTCAAGGAAATCAGACTCTTAATAGTTTTTTTCTTTGGTTTTGTATACGATTGAGCTAGCTGATAACAAATATTCTATTTGGAGCAATCAGGTTTTGTGATTTCACAATTTGGTTTGATTGAGAACAACTGATGAAATGATTGACTGGTAAGTAAACTTTTGTGTTGGTGGCCTAGTTTATAAGCCAATAAAGCATTGGTGAGCAATAATTTTGCTTAAAAAATGGTGAAATATAAATGTTAAACGGAGACTTTGGCGATTTGTATATTCGTATGGGATAAAATATTAAAATTTATGTTTTTTTAATTTTTTTTACATAATAATTACGTATCATAAATAATGTGGATATGAAAATATAAAATATATTTTTTAATTATGTTAAATTCATATGTAATTATTGATAAAATTTTAAGTCGTTTTATATTTAGGTTTTATTTTCGTATCATATTTATATCATGTTATCATATCGAAGCTTAGATTGTTAAATCTAATCAAATTCGTATAAATGATTTCATAATAAATCCATGATGGTTTAGGTGACAAGAAATGTTGTTTTTTTATTTGCTGTTCGAATTCAAATCATCTTAAAAAAAGATTATTTTTCATGAATTTATAAATAAGAATGAAATCGTAATTTGGATTTGTGATTCTTAACCAAAAGTTTGAGTGGAAAACAAAGATTTTCACTTGTTCTATAAACTATTATAATTCAAATCACGATTTTGCAACACAACTCAACTAGAAAAGAAGAATAAAAAAACAGAAATAACCTTTTTTGTAATTGTGTATTGTATTTCCTTTAGTACAATTAAATATTCTAGCATCAACTGCTATCCCATCAGTCCAAAAGAAAAATAAGAATACGAATATATTTGTAATTGGTTGGTTCGGTTTTTAAAGATCGATCTTTTAAAAAATATAATAAAAATCGATTGATTTATTTTTAAAAATAAAAAATAACTGAATTGACAAAAGGTAATCGAAAAATCAAAATTTGAATAAATTTTTGTCATTAATTTTGAATAATTTGTAATAATTTTTACCAAATAAAATTTACTTTATAATTTTATCATCAATATTATATTTGTTATTTTTATAAATATAAATTATTTTATCTATATTTATATTATATATAATATAATTTAAAAACTATCTTTAAAAATCAATTAATTTGATTGATTTAATTATTAATTTAAAAATAATAACCGGTCAAATTAATTCATTAAATAATTTTATCTAATAATAATTATCAAAATTAAATGAATTAAAACAATTCAATCGAATTTAATTGATTTTGATTAATCAAATCAATCAGAATCGATTTATACTCACTTTTATTTATTGGTATAGTAGAATCAAAATTAGAAGCATTTGGTCTCTTTGGTTGAGTCAGTATATTGAATTAGATGTGATAATTTAAAATATAATATGATTATATAATATAAATATGATTCAAATAAAAAATTAAAATTAATACAATTTAAAATTTTAATAATAATTATATATAAATTTAATAAAATTTTAAAAATATATTTTATATTTTTATATTTACACGTAAATTATTATCCATAATTTTTATATAAAATATGATATAAATTTATAAATTTTAATGTATATATATATATATAAACACACACGAATCGTCGTGTCTACAGTAAAGGACAAAGTTCATGTCTACATTAAACCAGAAATTCACTAGTTAGTGAGTTGGTCCGGGCCTGAGTAGTAACGAGTACTGTTTTCCCACTAAACGGGTCATCCATTTCCCAAAAAATAAACAAAAAAGCAAATTTCATTGCTTACCAAAATCCAGTGTTTTAACATTCTCCGCCCCGCCTATCTTCTGTTATTTCTTTACTTCCCCTCACTGTGTCAAAAGAATCTAACGCAACCAAAGAATCTAACGCAACCAAAGAATCTACCACTATTCATTTCTCTGTAAGACTTCATATCTTCCCACATGCTTTCGTTTTTATTTACTTTCGCAGTTTTTCATTTACATTTTCGTAAGTTTTATATGATATTTTTGTTCTAATTCTAGACTCTGACAACATTAAGCATTTCTAGTTTTCTTGGGTGTTTTATGGTTACCCATCTGAACCTTGATCTGAATGCACGTGTCCTACAGGTGTTTCTGTTTTTTAATAAAGTAAAAGGGTCGTCGGACAGTCCAGGAAAAATCACTTTTAGTTTTGTCTTTGATCTCAAAGTTGGTAAAGGCGGTAAATGTAGACCTGGCAATTCGTGTATCATTGTCATATATGTTTCATTTCGTGTCAAACATATGTAAAATATGAAAATTATCGTATCCATGTCTGACATGCCAAACTCATATATGGTTTTTATCGAAATTTTAGACCGAGTTATATCGTTTAAGTGTCATATCATTATATCTTGTCAAAATTACTAAGTTTAGGTAACTGTTAACGGTAATTGCTTGTTCACCAATCAACATGGTTGTTCTCCAAGAATTTTTTTAGAATGTTCAGGACCCATCATAAGTAGGCTTGAACAGATACTGAAGTCATTAATATTTGTAATTAGTAGGGTAGGGGGTTTATTTTGCTTTAATGGGGATATTAATGTTTAAACTGATAGGTATGTACTGTTTCTAATTGTTCTAATTAAATGCTTTATTTTGTTTGTACTCGAAGTTGATGATATGGCTGGAGTGGAGCAGAGGCAGAACAAGTCTGGAGGTGGTAAGTATTTTTTTTGCTCAGGTTGGTTAGATTTCATTAGTAATGTGCCATAAAGGTGTGGCGGTTTCTAATTGTGTGGATGTTTTGTTGTTGTTGTTGATTTTTAGGAGGGAAAAAGAAGGAAGTGAAGAAGGAGACTGGTTTGGGTCTCTCCTTTACCAAGGATGAGAATTTCGGGGAGTGGTACTCTGAGGTGCAATGACTCAGTGCCTGTTATACTATGTTATTGAGATCTTAGTATCTTATTGTTATATCATCATTTTGGCTTTTGTAGGTTGTTGTCAATGGTGAAATGATTGAGTACTATGACATTTCTGGCTGTTATATTCTGAGGCCATGGGCAATTTCAATTTGGGAGATCATGCAAGTGAGTCATATGATGTTTATACTCATATTGCTCTTTAAATGTAAATAAGAAGTGTTTATTAATTACAAGGAAAAAAAATTTATGGATTTCATTCCTCGATCTTTGTTTTCTTTCTATTTCCTTTCATGGTTAACTTATCCATGGTGTTAAACTGTAGACATTCTTTGATGCTGAAATCAAGAAAATGAAAGTCAAGAACTGCTATTTCCCTCTCTTTGTATCTCCAGGCGTTTTGCAAAAGGAGAAGGATCATATTGAGGGTTTTGCTCCAGAGGTGAGAAACAATTTTTTTTTTTTTTGGCATAATTGACCTTGTGGAATGCTTCGCAGCTTGAAAGTGTTGGTTTCTTTTTTTATCAAACTTTTTGAAGCCATTTGAAACTCATTTTGTTCCTAAACTTTTTTGCCCTGTTTTCAATGATTTACTTCATTTTGTGGAAATCCATAGTTTAGTTTCTATCTAGGGCTCAAATTGGAGAAAGTTTTTTATCTAGGGCTAAATTTGGCAAGTTCTTCCTCATTTGAGCAAGATACTTTCATGAATATGCTGAAAAAATGGCAATATTTCGATGTTTTTATACTTTTTAGCACTGGACTTATGCAACACTTAAGTTTTATGCATTTTTTTACTAGAAATGTTATGTGATCTAATGAAAAAATGACATGTGAATGGCTTTGGGATCCTGGTTTAATCAGGTTGCTTGGGTGACCAAATCTGGGGAGTCTGAGTTAGAGGTGCCAATTGCAATCCGCCCAACTAGTGAGACAGTTATGTATCCCTATTATTCTAAGTGGATTAGAGGACACCGTGACTTGCCTTTGAAACTTAACCAGTGGTGCAATGTCGTTCGATGGGAATTTAGCAATCCCACACCATTTATCAGGTAATTGTCTTAAAATTGGTCAACTTTAGCTTTTCCGGTGTTATCCTGCATCCTTTTCCCCCCCTCACCTTTTCCGGATGGGATATGGTATGCCATACATGTAATGAGATGTTAATTTTCGTAAAATTTTCTAATCTCGGTTCAATTTTCTTATCCTTAGTTATTAATGTTTACAGATGAGAACATTATTTTCTCAATTCTTTTGATGCCAAGTTAGAAAATTAATTTAAAATGATTTGATGATAGATTGGTCACCACTAACTTGCTTCTTAATTGTAGGAGTCGTGAATTTCTATGGCAGGAAGGGCATACTGCCTTTGCAACAAAGGAAGAGGCAGACACAGAGGTAGCATAGACTTAAAATTTTTACCTTTGATCAACATTTCAACCTTAGAGAGCTGAAGTTTGCCCATTGTTCTATTGGTGTACAATGGAATAGGGAAGGTTAAAGTAAATAGAAATTTTGCATGGCTGATCCTTTTCTTTTTCATATTTATCTACAATTAAATTTTGGTTTAAAATGGCATTTTTGCCTCAGAATTGCCGAATGAAGTATTTAAGTAAGCATTTCAGAAATTTCCCATGTGATCTTATTTTGAATAATTTCAATATTTTGTTGGTTTCTGTGCTGTGTCAAAAGTCAAAGTCATATTTCATTGCTGTTACAGATTTCACTTGTCTTGCCTTTTGAAGTATCATTGAAGGATGTGCTAGATCCTTAGAACCTTTTATGTGTGTCTAAATATGGTTTTGTTGGTGAATATATTATGGAAGGGGGACTGAGGTGGCAAAAATGACATGCTGAGTTATATGTATTTATTGTTGAAATACTTTGTGCTTGGTAGATTTTAGACTTTAGTTCCTACTTCTAATCACTCTTGCAATAGTTGTACTGCTTCTCATTTTCACATCCTTTGCGATATCTCATGCTGTTAACTAAACAGGCAAAAAAGGGACTTAGTAGCCAATAACAATGGTAGGGATGTCAGCCGGGTCTCTTTACGTATGTCTAAATTTTGTTATATTTCAGGTTCTTCAAATATTGGAACTGTACCGATGTATATATGAAGAATTCTTGGCTATTCCTGTTACAAAAGGCAGGAAGAGTGAACTAGAGACGTTTGCTGGTGGACTTTACACAACTAGTGTCGAGGTATGGTATAAACTATTATGCATATATACATGTAATAACAATCTCTACTTATTGGCATGAACAACGAACTTAAATTGTCTGCTTGATCAATGTGCTTTAATATAAATTGAGGAACTTTTAATCTGTTCATAATATGATAGGCATTTATTCCAAACACTGGGCGTGGTATTCAAGGTGCAACCTCCCATTGTCTGGGCCAAAACTTTGCAAAAATGTTTGAGATAAACTTTGAAAATGAAAAGGGAGAGAAGGGTATGGTCTGGCAGAATTCCTGGGCGTATAGTACTCGAACGGTAAAACTTTTTGTCTCTTTACTTAGAACATTCTTAGCATTTATCATTTCAAGTCCTTTGTCATGCTATCCCTACCATTTATGTTTTGTGGTTTTGGGTGATTACATGGGGTTGGAATCCTTAACTACCATATAATTCCCTTTCTATTCTTTTCTCCTTATTCCTGCTACTCTGCTTATGTTTTCTACTGTTTTTCAAATTTTCTCAGATTGGGGTAATGGTTATGGTTCATGGGGATGACAAAGGTTTAGTGCTGCCTCCAAAAGTAGCAGCTTTGCAACTTATTGTGATTCCTGTGCCTTACAAAGATGCAGATACTCAAGGTATTTTTGATGCTTGTGTTGCCACTGTGGCAACCCTCTCAGATGCTGGCATTCGTGCTGAAGCTGATCTTAGAGATAACTACTCACCTGGTTGGAAGTATTCAAACTGGGAAATGAAAGGTGTTCCCCTAAGGATTGAAATAGGACCTAGAGACTTAGCAAATAATCAGGTGAACCCCCCCTTTTTTTTGGATGCTGCTTTCCTTCTATTCTTTTATTTATTAATTTGCTATTGTACTTATACAGTTAAAACCAGAAAAGTGCTTTATTTGACAGGTACGTGCAGTTCGCCGTGACAATGGAGCAAAAACTGATATCTCAAGAGTCTTTTTGGTTGAACAAGTAAAAGGAATGTTGGATAAGATTCAACAGAACCTGTTTGACGTTGCAAAACAAAAACGAGATGCCTGTGTTGAAGTTTTAAAAACTTGGGAAGAGTTTGTAACAGCTCTTGGGCAAAAGAAACTGATCTTAGCTCCTTGGTGTGATGAGGAGGTATGACTTGAATTTGCAGAATCCTTATTCTTTACAGGGACCATGACTATTTAGTATTTAATCAGTGTTCCTTTAGTGCTTATCTGCTACACTTAGTCTTTGCATTGAATCATTAGGCTGAAGTGTTTTGTTGGTTATAAAAATGAGTTGGATCATATTTAGAACGTCATTAATTTCCAAGATTACCTCTCCAGGCATTTGTTGGTTAGAATGGGTCTTGCTCAGTTTCATAAAAGACTTTTAATGTAGGTATGACTTGAATTTGCAGAATCCTTATTCTTTACAGGGACCATGACTATTTAGTATTTAATCAGTGTTCCTTTAGTGCTTACCTGCTACACTTAGTCTTTGCATCGAATCATTAGGCTGAAGTGTTTTGTTGGCTATAAAAATGAGTTGGATCATATTTAGAACGTCATTAATTTCCAAGATTTCCTCTCCAGGCATTTGTTGGATAGAATGGGTCTTGCTCAGTTTCATAAAAGACTTTTAATGTTTTGTATAAATGTAGGATGTGGAGAAAGACGTGAAAGCACGAACGAAGGGTGATATGGGAGCAGCTAAGTCTCTTTGTACCCCGTTTGAACAGCCTGAACTCCCAGAAGGTAAAGCAGGCATTTATTTTAAACAGTAGGATACTTTCCCTCCCTCATAATACTAGTAGTATTTTGTTTTTTAATAAACTGTTACTGCACCAGCATGCACTAATCAGCAACTGCCAAGAATCTTAATCTGTGACAAACTACAAAAAATTATTGGAAATTTAGAGAAATCATACTACATTAAGAGGAATAAGAGATAATAAATTAATATTAATCAGTAGTTCAATTAATTTGAAGGATTAAGTAAAAATCCGGCACCCAGTGAGCTTGGTTCAGGTAAGATGTGATTGCAAATGTGTCATTGTGATTGAACCTGAAGCTTAGCTCAGTTGGTTCATGTAATCACTCTTAAGAAGTGGTATCTAATAAATCTAGGGTTCCAATCTCAGCACCTGCATCCCCCTCTCTTCTCCAGGCTGCAACCACTTTCGTATCAAAAAAGAAAAGCTTACTTAATCCTTTTGTAACACAGTCTTTTCTCATTTAGAATTTTTTAAATTTCTCCTTACATTAGTATTGAGGGAATTCATGTGTAAATGCTGTTTGATTATTTGTAACCTTACATCCACAAAAAGAAAAGAGGAGATTATACGTCTTCTATAGAATTCTCTTCTCATCAAAAATGAAATTATGCAGGTACTAAATGCTTTGCCTCTGGGAAGCCTGCAAAGAAATGGACCTATTGGGGTAGAAGTTACTAAGATTATTCTCTTTTTATGACCATCTCCTTCACATTGTCCTCTGTCTGATGTCAGCTGTGCTGGTGTGTGGACCATTCTTAACAGGATAATTTTCAATTTGAAATTGTTATATGAAACTGATGAGAGTACTTGGTTTTATTATCATATAGTTAAGAGTTCACTTCGATGCATGGTGGGAGAACTCCCACCGCGCCGCGCATGTCATTTTATTCATTGGACCCTTGGAGGTTAAGTCATAAAAATGCAATTACGGCGCGGTGAAAGTCTCTCTCACTATGTTACCAAAGGGACATTAAAACTTGTGGGAATTTTTTTTTTTTAATTTTCGCCAAGGGTGTATTGTAGAACTTTTGCTTTGCTACAATTGATTTACTGCTCTATTTGTGATATTACAATATTAGAATATGGTGATGGTACTTGAAGGTTATAAGTTTCTTGTTTGGATTCATTTGGTGATGGCTTTGACTTTTATTTCTCTGTCATTGTTTCCTGATACTGTTCATTAGTGGATTGTTCTTCAATTGAAGCAGTTGAAGGAGAATTTCACGAATTACAATGACACGTAAATGATATCAAAAAATATTAAAATAATATGATTTAAAATTTTAGTAAAAATAATATGTTAAGTTTAATAAGAATAAAAAATATATATTTCGTATTTTTTTTTGTTAATATTAGTTGTAATACAAAATTTTTATATAAAATATGATATGAATTTATGAATTATTAATGTTTTTATAACATAAATACATGAATTAATTTTTTTACATGAGTAAATGTCACTCATCTGTCATTTCTTTTTGGTGATTAAAACATGCAGAATGGCAAAATAGTTAAACTGTAGTATGGATGTCCTCATTTCCAACTGGTCAAAATTTACCATTAAGGCTCGTGCCTGGCCTCAAACATTTAAACGTAAAACTTACTCTCATTGGTTATAGCCAAAAATAACCAAAAATTTTCAACTTCACAATGTAATAAATTTTGAATCCAAAAATTAATTCAGTTGATTCATACAATCATCTTTAAAAGATAGTATATAACATATTTGAAGTTCAAATAATTTGTAATTCATTCTTCTATTCCTAGGTTACAACCTTCTTTATATATATATAAAGAATAAATTCCTGGCTAAATTCATCGGTTCGTTTCTATTCTGACCACAAATAACTGGCAGGTCATTGAACATGGCGGCAAAAACATATCTCATTGGACTTCAAGCAATGCTCCTTGATTCACTTCATCACCATCAAGAAGTTCCTGGATTATTTGATTGATAGCATTTCCTCGAGCCTATGTTTTGTAAGACAAATATTTCAGCACACAATCAAAACCACAACAGGATAAGACAATCTGCAAAGCGGAAACCCCTAACCTTTACTCCAATTGCAATTGCTGTTTTTAGCTTTACAAGCTCACCCAATCTTAGGGACCCCTTTTTATCATCTCTAACAATCATCAATGGTACCTTCCTTGACAAAGCCAACGTTGGCAGGTGCTTTATTAGCCACTTTGGATTGCAATCAGCAGCTAACAAAATAGCCTACAAGCTCAAAAAACATATAGCAAACCTTAAGCAGTGCTTGTGAAAACATGACAGCTAAGGATCCACATGGATGGATGGCGAGATTCAAAACAGCGGTGGTAATGAGATTACATGAAGTTTAATACGCAAGCAGTAAGATTAAAATCAATGATGAAAATATGTAATTGAATATAAACGCAAAGTGATAGGAAGATTGAGTATAACAATCGGTTGCCTCACTAAAGCCAATTGATTGTCACAATTGCAAAATGTCTTCATTTTCATTTTTACGCTAAGGCAGTCGACTGCTCTAGGATCTAGATGTTCACTGAATCCTTTCCCCCAGCCAACTGCACCGCCGGGTGCTTTTGGTTAGCATCATGCGGTGCACTTGGCCCAAAAAAAGGTTGCGATGGAATCAAAACTAGCCCTTAGTATAACAAACATATTGCAATAAACAACTAAGTATAGATTGTTATAAAAGGCATGACAGATCACTCAAAATTTAAATCTAGAAACAGGGAAGCCAACCTGAAGCCTAACACAAGGAGATTGAGCAGAGCTTCCATTCTCAACAGTGGGTGCCATCCGTTCAAGTACACGAGTCACATCATTAACACCAATGGCAAATTGTTGCTAATAACAATGCACCAAATACAATATAACAATCAGAATATAATAAAACCACAAGGATCATCAAAGAAAATCAATAAAGCATTGAACAAGAGATCAAACCTTAAGCCATACTTTTTCAGGCAAGGAGTTTTCAGCCAATGCTCTTGCTGACTCTACCCCTCTGTTCATTGCAATAACTTCAACTATTACCTCTGAAAAAGAACAAGAATTTGAATACCAAAAAAGGGTATTCTTTAATTATTGATAATGTGTTCGAATCGTTTACCTTTGGATTGATTTAAGCACGTGAACAAGACGCTCCCCTTCATAACAACTGCCAAGAGAAAAAATAAAGAAATTAAATCAAAGACCCAAAATTTGCATAAAATCCAATGAAACAAAGGCAGACTTACTCTTGCTGCTGAGGAACGGAACCGTCAAGAATGTTGTTTTTGGCTGCCTTATTTCTAGCCGTCATGTTTCATTTTAGAGTTCGCTACTTGTTTGATGAAAAGA